AGAAAACAATAGAATTAGCATAATTTAGCAGTATTTAGTGGTATTTATGTTGCACAGTTTTGGTGTTTGTACTCTAGTTCGTCTAGAATATGTTAAAGAACGAAGGAAAATGATCACTGCATCACTGCATTGCCAGTGGAGTGGACGTCTCGTGCTTTTTGTTGTTTTTGTTGTTGTATATTATTTATTTGTGTTGTTGTGGTTCATAGGTATGGATTATTGACGAAATATTCACTCATAAGAGGTTCCTATATGGCTCATTTTCCATCAAATAAGGATTTTCGATGTTTTGTTTAAATGCCCGACATTAGCTTTCGGTCACCCTTAAAAAAACCGTTTGTTTGTTGGTTGGTTGTTGGTTTTTTGTTGTTGTTATTGTTTTTTTTTTTGTTTGTTTGTTTTATTGGCTAAATTAATGTTCCTAAAGTCCAGGACAACTAAACGACTACGAGAACGAGATATATAATGCAATTAATGCACAATATCAAACTGGTATCCTGTTACTTGATAGAGCATATAAAACATTACTAGTTTTGCAAATGTAACTAAAAACAAACCATTATATGCATGAAACTTACAAAAAACTTTTTTTTTTGACTAAGGGCCACAGAGTTTCATAGAAGCTGTTAGTTTATTTKTCTAATATTTCTATTTTTCCATTCAATTTTTACGCTTATATCTTTTTCATTGCAAGCTCCTCGATTTTCCCTGCAATATCGGCACAGTGCAACATACGTTTCTTCTCCTTTTCAATCTCATCTGCGGCAACTTCACCACGTATTTTCTTCAAAAACAATTCCAGGTCTCGCATAAACAACCCCTTGGGAGCAGTTTGACCGTGTGGTGTTGGACRAGGGGGAGGTCCCGCTCGAGGCGAATAGTCCATTGTTGTCCCATCTTCGAATGTAAAATGAAAAGTTATGGAACGACTACTAAAAGTACCTCGCGTCTCTGTCCATACCAAGGGTCTGCAAAGAAGAAAAGGCAATGTCTAAACACGATAGGGAGTTGAAATCCTCACATTTTTTCATGTCTGCTAAAACATGTTAAAACAGCTTTTAGGGACGGGGTTAAAACAACAGGCAAAAAGGATCCAATCAAGTTGTAAGATTTGGTGGTGGCTCAGTACTGCGACAAAATATCCCCACCCAAAAAACTACGTTTAAGTAGATAGTAAATACAGAACTGAAAACTCTCAKTGTATGGCACTAAACTCGAAGCATTTGCAGCTATATTTTGAAAGATATTTGAGAATAAAGTCTCGGATTTTGATCTGTGAGGTGATGGGTACCGTTCACTGTAACCCACTTTGTGCTCTTTTTTTGGTCTCGTCATTTAGAGAGATTTTTTAGAGGCTATAAAAAAGGTGCGAGGACTGCAACAACCATCATTCTGTGCTGTACAAAATAGCGTGGCTGCAAATTAGATATTGAATAAGAAAACTCCACTGCGATTGATAGAAGTTTTAACTACGCACAACAATAGTAGGGGGAGGGGGAAGGGAGGTGGAGGAAACGGAGCAAAATGCCAAGACGAGACCAAAMAAGAAATACATASCAAAGTCGAAAAAGATTACTTTTCACAACGTAAAAATTCTGGGGCACACCTTTAAGTACAGTAAATAACAAGGTGGCCATGATAGTAACCTGAGTATCAGGCCTTCGAGGGGACCTGGGGAGGAGAGGAGAGGAGAGGAGGCCTTCTCCTTCCGTTTTTCCCCCCGAGAGCCTGATACTCAGGTTACCATGATAGGTGAGACAACTAGATTCACATATACACATG